CGCAGGCCCCGGCCCGCCTACCTGGGCCAGGACTCCTGCGCGCGCAGTGCAGTCCCGGCTCGGCCTGTCTGGGGCCGCCCGCGAGCAGCCAGGCCGGCCCGGGACCCGAGCAGACGCGCACTTCCGGTCTGGGTCCTCCAGCTGGGTCTGCGTACCCGGGCCGCAGGTCTGCTCCCCGCTACTCGACAAACGAGAACACCCGCTCGGCAGCGGCTCCCTGCCCCCGGGCCGCCCTGCGTGGCCGCCGCGTCCCCTCAGCCCCTCGCGAGGGGCGGCGGGTGGCGGGGAGTACAGGGCCGGAGTCCGCCGCAGTCTCCAGCGGCTGGAGCCAGAGCGCGCACTGTTGCTCCAGACTCCTGTTTGGAGGACCCCAGAAGGTCACCGCAGGCGCCTGAGGCCCAGGGTGACCCGCCACGCCCCGGCCTGTCCATCCGGAGCAAGTGCCTGCCCTCCTGTCCTTCCCGCGGGCTCGCTGCCCTCTTCCTCCCCAGGCGTCAACTCCCCTCTGTCCAAAGGGGAGCTCAGCCAGTGCCCCTCCCACAAGCCAGTTCCTTTACAGCAGGCAGCTGAGGCGGCCGAGGGAGTCCCGGGGCGGTGCGGGGGTCAGGAGGCCCCAGGGGGTCTGCAGCTCCGTGCTGCCCTCTGTGCTGCTCTCCTCCTGCGCCCCGTGAAGGCTGGGAGGGCACTGTGCCAGCTGGGTGCCCGTCCTGGGTCGAGGCCAGCAGTGCCAAGCCACTCTCGCAGATGCTCAGAGAGAACTCAGAGCTGGGCCGAGCCCCTGCTAGACCTGGAGGGCAGCCCTTGACCCCTGAGGCACAGGCTCTGACTGGGCCCCGCACCTGTCCACCGCTGGGTTTGTTAGTGCCCAGTATATGCAGGTGCTGGGCCAGGTACCGGGGATAGGGAAGCAGGTGAGAGCTGCCTCTGGCTGGGCACAGTAGCAAATGCCTGTACCTCCAGCCCTGAGTGAGGCAGGAGAATCACTAGTTCAAGTCCTGCCTTAGCAACTTAGACCGCTCTCAAAAAGGGGAGGGGGCTAGAGATGGAACTTAGGGATAGAGCACCCGTGGGTTTGATCTACCATACTACCCCCAAAAAGGGGCCTTCATGTGGGAGGCCAGTCCAGAGGCTGGGTGGGACGAGGGGCAAGGTTTAAGCTGAAGTCTGAGGATAGGGTGGCAGCTGGCCTCCCGGGGCAGAGCAAAGGTGTGGGCACCCAAGACACAGCCTGGCTGAGGGCAAGGAGGCTGTGGGGCTGGGACGGGTGGGGCAGCGGACCACCAAGCACCACCAGGAGGGTAGCCTGGTCAGATCTGGTGAGACCTGAGGGTGGACCTTTCTGGCAGGTTCCACGCTTGTTTCTTGGCTGTTTGTGCTGCAGGCGCAGGGTACCCAGCCCCCTGCTCCTGCATGTCAGGGAGCATCTCTGTGGGTTCAGGGCCCAAGACATCAGAGGCCAACTACGGGGCCTGCCCAGGACCTGACCACACAGGACCTCACAGGAACCTGGAATGACCTGAACGGCACAGGAGGAGGGACCAGGGCTCCAGTAAAGGCCACCCTGGCTCTGATTCCTGGCACAGTTGGGTGGGGCAGTGTGAGCAAAGGTGGCGGAAAGCCAGATTCTCCTGCGGCAGAGCCACCTGCAGGACTTGAGTGGAGAAGGCAGGGCTTGGTGGTTGCTTGGAGCGGGAGGCCAGCTGGGGTCTCCATGGCTGGAGGGTGGAGGGGAGGCAAACCTGCCAGGGCTTCCGCTGGGAGAGGCTCCAACCCTGGGCCTGGCTTGGCCTTGCTGCTGCTGGTTCTGTTTGTCCAGTGGGTCCCACTGTCTGTCAGGTGCTGGGGTGCATTCACTGGGTGAGTGCAGCCTATGCCCTCAGCACCTCAAGACTTGGAGGCTCAGCTGAATCTCAGCACCAGGACAGAGGTCCTCCTGAGGGCAGGACTAGCACATGCAAAGGTGCTAGAGCCAGAGGCAGCCATGGCATACTGTACTGTGTGTGTGAGGAGGCTGGAATCAGATCCTGCTGCCTGTCAGGCATAGTGACATCAGTGACTTTTCAGGAGTCGGGTGCTGGGGATATAGCTCAGTGGCATAAGTGCCTGCCTGGCAAGCGCAAGGTCATGAGTTTGATCCCTGGTACCGCAAAAAAAAAAAAAAAGGAGTGGGGTGAATGTGTGTGTCTTGTGGTCACCTGCCCTGCTCTGAGGCTTGCTCAATCTGTTCCCCAGTAGGACTGAAGCCCTGCCCTTCCTTGAGCCTCTCTAAGCAGGCAACAGGATGACTCAGGGCAGAAGGGAAGACAGGCTGGTCAGAGTCTTCTGAGTCAACTCTGGAAGGTCCTGAGACACCTCCACTGACCTCAAGATGCCCCACTCGTCAGGGTGCACAGGAAGCCTTGGCTATCACAGAAGGTGGCCCAGAGCTGCTGAGAGGCCACATCAGAGGCTTGGGGGACACTCTTCTCTCTAGCTTGGTGCTGCAGCTTCCTGGAATGGGGGTGTCTACTGTTTCTTCTTCTATGTCAAGGGCCTACTGTACTTGTTGCTGTGACCAAACTACCTGACATATATTCCTCCTTTTTTTTTTTTTAAAGGAAGAAGAGATTTATTTTGGCTTATGGTTTCAGATGTTTCAGTCCGTGGTAAGCTGACTCCAAGACAGAAACATCATGATAGTGGATGTGGCAAAAGAACACTGCCCACCTCTAGGCAGCCAGGAAGCAGAGCAGGAAGAGCCAGAGAGGGAGGGGCCAGGGAGCAGACATAGTCCCCAAGATCATATCCCCGACCCACCCAGACATACCCAGAAGTGCATTTTACTAGTCCCCAGTCACCTCTCAAGCTAATCAAGTTGACAAGACTAGCCATTGCCCTCTCCATGTGGCTGGTGGTGACCATTGGTGCTCTTGACTTGTGATTATGTCGGTTCCACACATACTGATCTTGCAGTTCTGCTCAGCCAGGCCCTTCCTCAACCAGGAAGGCATGCAATGCCAGCACCTGCTTGGTGCAGATGTGTGCTGGGCATGTGGACTAGGCAGAGCCCATCCTCTGGGGCCAGGCCAAGTTCAGCTGCGCCCCTAGAGTTGGTGTGTGGCAGGCTGGGTCTGGGGTCCTGCAGAGGTGCTATGGACACCTCCTGTCAGAGGCTTCTCCTATATGGTGTCATCTTGGAGTTTGGGGTACAAGGTATAGGTTAAGGCTCAGTACCTGGGAAGTGGGTGGGGGACTGTGAGGGTGACCATGTCGGGCCCAGCTGGCATAGCCTTTGTGCTTGCCCTTCACTTGCCCAATGCGCTGCCCAGGGGGGAAGACTTTACATGGAGGAACTGATGTAGAGGCCACCTGATGGCCTCTTCGGCCGGACACCAGGGCTGTCTCTTTCCCTCTCCTCCCTCAGCCATGTGCTGGGGCCAGCCCAACCAGCTCACCTTGTCCTCACCTCAGCCACGGCTTCAGTAATGGAGTCTAACGGAGAGTCTTCCTTTTTCCCTCCCTCTTTCGTTTTCTTTTCTTTTTTTTTTTTTTTCTGGTACCGGGAATCGAACTCATGATCTCTTGCTTGCCAGGCAGGTGCTGTGCTGCTGAGCTAAATCCCCAGCCCCTCTCCTTTCTTTCTTTCTTTCCGTTTTTTTTTTTTTCCTTTCTCCTTTCCTCTTTTCCTTTTTTGTTTGAGATGAGGGTCTTGTTGTGTTGCCCAAGTTGGCTTTGAATGGCTGGGCTCAAGCAATCCTCCTGCCTCAGCCTCTCAAGTACTGGGATGACAGGCATGCATCACCACAGCTGGCTTCCAGACATTCTTTCTTTAAAGTGGAGAAGCAGAGGTGCCCAGAACGTGACGCTCCATTGTCCCATAACAATGCAAAGGGACGCTGAATGGGGTCCCTGACACGTGCTAGAATGGGGAAAGGGGACACTGAGCTCTGTGAGGACGCTCAGCCTGACTGTAGGGTGGGTGTCCCCCTCTTCTCAGCTCCCAGGTGCCCTGGGAGGCTGCCCAAGCCACTGTCTTGCTGAGGGGCTGCTGACCCTCCCCTGGGCCGTGGCTCATGTGAGGAGAAGGTGCCTGGGAGCCACAGGCTGGGTGGGACCTGTGCAGCCTCTCACTGGCTGCATACCTGCAGAGAAGCCTCTGCTGCTGCTGGCGTCAGTGGGCAGAGGGTGCCCATGGTGGGCAGGGAGGCTGAGCACAGGAGGGAGCCCTTCTCCTCTGCGCATGCAGTGTGTTAGGGATGTACTCACAGGCAGGGCTGCGGGCCACTGGCTTAGAACACGGAAGCAAGGAACAGACAGGTTCCTTCTAATAATAGGAAACAGACGCTGGGGATCAGGGAGATAGTCGCTGGAGCAATCTCAGAGGCTGGTCAGGCCTAGGTTGCTGCCTGAACACGGTCACTGGCAGGGTGGACATCGGCAGGGCCATCTCAGCTGGAGAGGAGACGCCTTATTTGGCTAATACTGACAGTGGCTGCGGGCTTGCTGCAAGAGAAAGGTAGAGCTCAAGCCCCAATCCCAGCATGCACCTGCCCCGGCGAGCCCTTCCCTGTCTAGATTGGATGATGGGGGGCCTGCGTGCGCAGCTCTCTGTCATCAGTCAGTGTTACGCTTTGTGTTTGGGTGTCCTGCCACAGTCTCTGTGCACTCATAGGCGGGGCTTTGGGGAGGTGGCTGGATCACGGGTGTGTGGTACTCAGATTAAGAGTGTGTGGCACTAAATTGGTTTAGCACAGACCTGGGTGTGGATAATGGAAGCCCCACCCTGGGTGGGTGGCACCACACAAAAGGCTTGTAGCTTTGACGGGATAGAAAGGAAAGAAAGGTTTGCTGCCTCCTGCCTGTCCTGCCAAGAACTGTCTCTCCTCTGTGGTGCCCCTCTGCCAGGCCACCCTCCCTCGGAACCAGCCAGCCATGGACTGAAACCTCCACAAACTGTGAGCCAAAAAAACCTTACCTCTTTCAACTTGTGGCTGTCTGGTACCTTGTCTCAGCAAGGAAAAAATAACTAAGACACTCGGTAACGGGGGGTGTCATTGTCACTGTGCTTTACTCCAGCCGCAGGTGTTTGGGGAGTGAGATAGGAGCTCCTCAGTCTGCTCCTGGAGGTGGTGTGTTCATGACCACAACCGTGAGGGGCCAGCTCACTGCTCTTCGCCTTGGAGTCAAAGGCTCTTTCTCCCTAAGTGGCAGCTGCTCCCTGACTCTAGCAGGAGCTGGTAACTCTTAGATAATAGCATCCACTGCAGAAGAAAGTCAAATCACTAACTAAAATTTAGTGCTAATGCTTCCTGTGTGTGGGCGTGCTTCATGTGCTTAGAGGAAGTGCTGGGGCAGTGGTGGCTGGTCCCTGTCTGTCCCTCCAATTCCTTGTATTTAAAGTAGGGAAGTGTCCAACTCATAGTAAGTGCTCAGACCAGTGCCTGGCACCTAGTAGGTGCTCGGTACAAGTTAGATGTTCTCACGGCTCAGCACTCTTCACTGTTACAAATAGTCTAACCTGTTTACTTGGTGGCTAAGCAAGGTCTATGAGGGCAGAGATTGTACCCACACACCACTGAATCCCAAGTAACTAAGACAGAATCAACCATATAGTAAGCCTTCAATGAACATGTTTAATGGAAGTGAATTGTGTAATAAAAACATTAAAGATTTCCATCT